CAGTATGGTGTGTCCATACTTTTCTGCAATACTCTCAATGGCATACACTTTTTCAAATGTTTTTGTCTGTAAAACTTCAAGTAGTTGGTTTCTGATATAGTCATCTTCAAAATACAAATTGTTATCCTTCAAAAAACTTTGTATTTCATCTTACCTCAAATTTTTATTCGGTAATTTCATGAGCTGACGCGAATGATTGGAAACGTTGTCTAGAACTATTATACTATTTGCACGTTGTCAAGAACTATTACACTATTTGCATCCAAATTTAGGATCAATGTGATTTCAAACCATTCTTTGAAAATTTTAGCTTCTATATCATAGAAGCTAATATTTTCAAAGAATAATTTCAAACAATTCGGAACCCATCTTTTACTTCCTCCGCAATGCACAATGATTAGTCGCGATCCTTTGTTTGCAGGCATGTTAGGCGTACACATTCTCGAACCATCAGTCCACCCTTTCGTAATTGTGTCGTGAGTGTCATACCAAGTTTCGCCCAAATAAAAAATTTGCTGTTGTTCTTGTCTATATTTAGTTATTTGTTCCAAGTATTTGTTACGCAATTCCACTATTCTTCTGCTTTCCATAATTGATTGACGTTTGTTTATTATTTTAAATCTAAATCCTACTTCTTTATCCAATTCTGAAGAGTTTTGTCACAGCAATTTCTTCCTTATGATTCCAATTGTAGGTATCTCATTGCTTTTATAACAGTCGTATACCTATTGTTTTTCTCAATGATTTTATTAGATGAACATCTAAAGATTTTAGTAATCCTATATCACATCGCGTTTTGCGTTCTTAAGGTTTGTTTTTGGCTATTTTACGTAAAGTTGAGAACGGAATTTCGGTCAAATCTGATGTTGCTTGAACTAGTTTGTTTCACTCGAAACCAAACTTCAGATGTATATACATTTAAACATACTCTCTGTGTTTCAATATTCAAATGCATCCGAATCTAATTCACTGGTATCTCTTTTTCGCATTGTTCACCATCGCTATTGGAATCACTACACTGGGAAAAGTCTGCGTTGTTATCACACTCGTCATTACTATCAAGTATTTGTCTAAGGATGCCACATTTTAAACAGATTACAAAAATGTTAAGTAATTATAACTACACCAATATCGAATTTCAACACTCAAATCGCGATCAGTTCCTGAACTGAACATTGATGACACGACGGCGATAACCATCCCTGCATTCCCCGATTTCTATTCGTCACCGTAACATGACTTCAAATTTAATTTTATGGGTCTTCAGCCAATCATAAAATTCGGTTAGTGAAAATTATTCAATACGAACCGCCAATTCTACAGTCCACATGGACTAGTTCGCAGCCGGTTCATTTCCACCTATTGGTTTTTTGGCCTTTGAGACTGCCGTCAACTTTAAGTGTGCACAATATCGTTTACTTCAACTATACTGATGAAATAAGATGTTTGACATTTTTCAAAAATGATTCCATGGGTGGCTTAATCTTCGCAACGTTAATTTGGAGCACAAACTGTACAGTCTTCATTGGTAGAAAGCAATTTATATTTTTTAATTGTGTTAACCTTCCTGTGAATGCATGTTAACGTCTTTCATTTTGCTTTAGACGATTCTGTGGCATATTGTCGTCTCGAATCTAGTGATGTAGAAGACGGTAAGATCTACAAAAATACTCTTAGTTGGTAGAGTGTGTCTTTATTTTTGTATCTCAGTTGATATAGTTGGTAAATGGGGTTTTTAATTATTATTACTTTAGTGCTAGCGATAATATTGTTTTCCGTTTACCACCTTGGCAGTGTAGTGTAAAAAATACATATCAAATTTTGGTAAAATATTAAACTACTACCTTTTATTCTTTTGATAATTTGTATCCCAAATTTCCACATTGAGAATGGAAAACACTCTGCAATTAGTAATAGCAGGTAACTTATACTCATTCCTCATTTTTATATATTTTTTATATCAACCACTATTGTGGTGCCTGTAAACTTGCCTATTCAGAAATCCATTTCGAAGACAGATTGTTTTCCGGCATATTCGACACACAAAGAGCTTTTCTCTCTTCACAGATGAGAGTTCGGATGTCTAAAACTTGTTGAATTGTTTCAGCTGCTAAAAATACTATCCAGAACAGAATATCGGCTTTCAGAAGAAAAATGGACATATGATAGATAATTCCATTTCATCAACTACTAATAATATAAAGTAAGCTTATGTTTGCTTGAAAATGTCACTAACGAAAATCTCTGTAGTTTTCCAAAATAAATAAAAAATAAATTATTGATGATTAATATTACCATGCTCTTTGATTAGCTTTATCATCATTGATCTTGTTGTTGGAGATCCTCAAATAAATTAACTTTGAATGTAAGTATTTACACAATTTTTAATGGGGTTTCCTCCACTTTGAAAAAAAAATACTTACCTTCACCTTCTCTTGGAAACATGTTTCTGATTATGTTCTGTAAACAGATATTTGGATTAGACGTTTTTATATTTTGCTAAAAAACAATCTGTCCAAGAATGGTTGTGCATGCCGAGCTACAGAAGCAATACTAACAATGCTTGTTTGCAATTTTTTTATTATAGAAATACGGATTGTGTGCCCTGATAAGCCGTACACCCAACTATCCACAAACTCACAAAGTTCAGGTATGCTGTTTCTCTGAAAATTTTTGAAAGTAAGTTTTATCTTGCTTACTCTTATGTACTATCTTTTTTCACCACTCGTTTTGTACATCTTTTTAACTCTGGATCTCTACTGGTGAAGTCTATAAGAAAAGAAAAAGAGAAAAATATTTGATCATCGGATCAATTATTTTTCTGTTATGTTTTCTTCTATTTCTAACTGTGTACTATTAGACGACTACTACTCATCTAGAGCATTGTATTTGGGCTTTTATATGAAAAAGTTTTATAATATGAATCTGTATTCAAAGTTGTGCATGGTTTCTGGGAGTAACTACAGTATTTTCCACGTATAAACCAGTGGTACTTGGTGCTCTTTGTAGTTCTTCTAGATGTTTGATGGTCACTGGTGTATAAACTCCGTCCAAACTGAAATACTAATTATTATCTTTTCTCAGCTCGGCGGCAAGAGATCATTAAAATGACCGAACAACTGATAGAAGCTATAAATACTGGCGATTTTGAAGCATACACGTAAGTAATAAACTTATTCTGAAGTATTCCTCTAGCTCATTGTTTTTCATGATTTATATGGTGTTTTCAAATAAATGTGTATAATATCTCAACTCTTTTTCAATAGACAAAATTATTATACATAACATACATTATACATACATAACATAACTGATGATTATAACATTTTTCTCACTGAAAAATACTTTAAATTTACACAATAACTTATCGGGGTGAACTAAAATGTTGGCCCATTTACTTCTGTATAAAGTTCTGCATTACAATTTTAAAATTTTTTCGATTGTGAAAGGTAAAACAATCAAAAAGAATTCGATAGCATATTATTTTCATTTCGTGTTTTTCACTAACTAACGGTGTCTTTGAAGATTGAAAACGATATCTGCAAATTCATGGTCATTAATGATATCGAGGAAAACGGGGTCTGTCGGTCAGCATATAATCTGGTAGAGAATTTCATCTGCTAAGCTCAACCTGCAAAAGTCTGCAGACCTGCTAAGTTTCAATTTTGTGAGAAATGTGAACTTTTTTTACACACAAAGGGTGGGTGATAAATCTAGTGGAAATTCATATCTGGAAGAACCAACCTGCAAGAATTTCTCTCGACCTGCAGAGTTTATTTTCAATTTTGCGAAAATGTTATTTTTTTATGACCGAAGAGTGGGGGTCAAAAAATGTTCTGTCGGAAATGATTAACCTGGTCGAAATTCATACCTATGAGATCTGACTTGCAAGAATTTCTGCCGACCTACAACTTTATAAGTATTGTGATTTTTTTTCATACACGAAGGATGGGGGTTGGAAATTTTTCTGTCAGAAAGTATTGCTCTGGTCGAGATTCATAACTGGAAAACCCGACCTGTAAAATTGTCTGCCTTCCTACAAGATTCACTAGAATAATACTAATAATAATTTATTTATTCACTAGAACGAATGACAGATTTAATTATATAATACATAATAATTTAAGCAGGTAGGTAAATGGTTTTGATGATATTTTTGTACATAATTTACATAGTAGGTATAATATCATGAAATGAAATATAAATGTGACTCTTTTGATATATTTTTGTAGTCAATGATTCAATTGATCATCAATGGTTCTAGACTCCTGGAACCCATATTGGTACAATGTTAACTAAGTATAATTTGCTTGACAGAAAAAGTTATCTAGGAAATAGTTAATTAATTAGTTAGCAAACATAAATTTAGAGAAAGTCTTCTCAAACCGTCGACTTTTTAGAAAGACGAAGAGTCACAATTTATAGTTCTTCCATATTAACAAAAAAACATTAACGGATTGGTTCAACTTTTCGAAAAAATGATCATGAAATTTACTTTCAAACCTGCTTGTACACAAGTATTGGGCAACCTGAAAGAAAACGCGACGGAAAAGAGAAAGTATGGGATTACGAAATGAGCTATGAGAATTGTGATAAAAAGTATGTTGGTCAAACTGAGTGGAACCATAATAGCTCGTTTTAAGAAACATATGTTTCACATTTTCTTATTCATGAACAAGATAAGTTTGGTGTGGCTCAACATGCATTAGCAACCAGATAAATAGTAGGTGTCATAACAAGTAGCCTTTACCATAACAATAATAAACTAACAGAAAAGTGAATTCTGTAATAATAATAATACAAGTTTATTCATGGATAAGTACAATATCATTTTTTGAACATTCAAGGTGTAATCATGGGCTGAAAAGTCCCGGGCCTGAAAAAGTAATCTTCATCAAGAGCCACACAATCATTTCAGCGCCGCTCAAACATTTTAGTACCACTTTTGTAGAATGATTTATCTTTTGCCTCAAAATATGCATCAGTTTCACCAATAACCTCTTCATTCGAGCGAAATTTCTTACCGGTGAGCATTTTTTTTGAGGTCTGTGAACAGCCAGTAGTCGCCGTAAGCCAAATATGACGAATACGGTGGATGTGGGAGCCAGTCGAAGTTCAATTTATGTATTTTTGCCATTGTTTTGACTGACTTGTGACATTATGCGTTCTCTTGATTAAACAATTTTTTTATTTGCCATATGCGGCCTTCAAACGCTCTAATAACGCTATATAATATTCACTGTTGATGGTATTTCTCCACTCAAGATAGTCAATGAATATTACACTTCGCACATCTCAAAATACCGAGGCCATAACCTTTCCAGCCGATTCTTGTGCTTTCGGGCGCTTTGGACGAGGTTCACCAGTTGCTCTCCTCTCATATGACGATCGTTTTGATTCCGGAGTGAAGTGATGGATCCATGTTTCATCCATTGTCACATATCGACGAAAAAATTCCGCTTTGTTATGTTTAAACATTGGCAAACACTGCTCAGCATCATCAAGACGTTCTTGTTTTTGATCAACAGTGAGCTCGCGCGGCACCCACTTCGAACAGAGCTTTCTCATGCAATATAAAGTCAACACGTTCTTTTCATATCTTCACAATGTCAGCCAACTCTCTCAACTTCACTTTTCGATCATTCACAACGATTTTAGGATTTTTTTTAATTTTTTCTGGTGTTACTGCCTCATTTGGACGTCCATTGCGTTTTGCATCATCTGTGTCTCTACTACCACGTTTGAAGTCAGCAAACCAACGTTCAATTGTTGTTTCTGAAGGAGGAGTTGGGTTAGGTTAGGTCCAAAGTGAGTGATTCTATTCGACCCTCCACCGCAACTCGCAAGGGTTTATTGTAGCTCACACCTATTCACACTCGATCAATAAACCCAGCTTCTTAACGAAGCCGATTAGTTTGTATGGTGAGTGGTCTTTCAGGTGAGATGGTAAGAGTACGGCTCTGCCGAACGCTAAAAACCAAAGTATGTAATCTGCTGTTTCATCATTTTTCAAACAGAGGCAACACACACTGTCGTCAACAGTCCGAGTCTCTGCATATGATAATTCAGATGACAGTGACCTGTAAGAAGGCCTATTAGACATTGTAATTCATGCCTACTGTAGTCGAACAACTGTTTGGTATCAAGCTTCGAAGGATGAATAAACGCCTGGAAGATTCTGCCAGAAGTCCATAAATCTCCTTGCCATCCAGCTGTTCAATCTTTGTTTGGCAAAGCCTAAAGCGATGCCAATGTCAGGTTTTGGTCCGATGAAGCTGCTTGCAGCACCCTCCTTTGCAAGGGAGTCGGCAGCCTCATTGCCTTCCAGGCCAGTATAGCCAGGAATCCAGACCAGAGACAATATGTTGAGTCTTCCTTTCGAGGAGAGTCGTTTTTGGCTATTTGCTACCAATTTAGACGTTGCTCGGTAGGAGTTACGAGCTTCCAACGCCGCTTGACTGTTCGATAATATTTTTATTGACTTGTGTATGAGGTTGGATTCTTCCAATCTCTCCGCATTCAATTCAATAGCGTACATTTCCGCTTGAAATACAGTCGCATAGGTTTCTAGGTAGGTTTATATATCTGTCCTGGGTCTGCGACTGAAAACACCTGCACCAGAACCGGAAGGTGTTTTTGATCCATCTGCTCTTACTATTTCCTTCTCAAGGAGGATCCAGCCTCTCTACTCGGAAACAGTACTTTATGAGGCAGTTTGTAGTTGACAGTTGGAGGCATAAAGTCAGAGGTTATTTCCAGAATGATGTGACTTTCAGTGTTAAATTGATATGTACAATTGGCAATGTGCACAAGTCTATATGCAGTCCACCCAGCCTCTCTCTCCAGAAAAATGTGGAGAAGAGAAAGATCTAGAAGGATCTTCATGGCCGATGACGGTGTGGTACTGATGGCACCACTGATGGTCAGAAAAGCCTGTCCACTTGAGCCAGAGAGCTTTGCCTGGGCCGTTTTCTGTAAAGCCTTCGGCCACCAGGCAATCACCATAGGTGATCATTGGTCTGACAATCATGACATAAATCCAATGGATTTATTTGGGACCTAAACCCCAAGTTTTACCACAAATCCTTCGACATGTCCATAGGGACAGTCTGGCTTTGTGTAATTTTTTTCCAAATGAGCGTTCCAGGTGAATTTTTTACTAAGGACAAAGCCAAGATATTTCACCTCTGTTCCAAATGGAATGACCATCATTGAGGGAAAGTGGCGTTAGATCGTCCAATTTTCTCTTCCTGGTGAAGGGGACTATAACAGTTTTGCTGGGATGGCAGACATCTGCTCCCTCAGGTAACAACTGTGAACAACGTCCAACTTGCTTTGGAGGATTTTACAAGCTATCCTTTTCAACGTGGACCTTGCCACTGAAGGAGTGGTCCTTATAACACTTTTCAAGCCATTGCTTCGCTTGGAAATAACAAAAGTAGTATCACTTTTAGCACAATAACTCACAAACTTATGAGTAGAATATCATGAAATTTCAACAGCTTCCTTTTGACGGTTAGTACTAACCGAAAAGACGGTGAATGCAATTATACTAGCGCCATCTATGTGTTTGGCCGATACTTTTCAGCTCATGTAGTATATTAAAAGTTTCTTTGTGCGAGTTCTTTATTAATTTTTTTATTTTAGTTGTATATGAGTGTCATGTACACGATCATTACATTTAATAATATAATATAATATAGTTGTATATCACCAATCTTTAATAATGTTTTCATAAATCTCAGTTTGGCAAGGTTTTTTATTTTTTTATAATTGAATGTATTTGATAGCCCCACATCAGATAGTCACTTTCTGAGAAAAAATAATTACAGTTATTGAAATATAGATTTAGAAATTTAGGAAATATTCACTAAAAACATGAAAAATTATTAATCGACTCAACTTAGGAGCAAATTCCTAGTAGTCATATATGACTACAAATGGATATCAAACTACTTATAGCCTGAAAAATATTTTTTGTGAAATAGAATTAAAACTACTATCCTGTCTTCCTTCGGTCATAGTTACCATAATTGATGGCCATTAAAAAAATTAAGTGTAAAATTGAATTCATTCTTTGGTTGTTTTTTTTGTTTGTAATATTTACAAGTCGAAAATCACTGTTTTGCGACTTTCACTTCTACGTACTTGTCCTCCGCAGAGAGGCTTGTTATATTACAGACATCTGGTGAATTTGAAGATCTTGTTAGCCAATATTTAGTGTTACAGGTGTTTCCCTTTCTATCTTTCTATAACTGATAACTGAATCAAGAAAGTAACTTGGATATAAAAAAATCAATAATATAGATAATAATCCAGAGTAACGAAGCATCGATTATTACTCTTTTTTGCCTTAGTCAGAAATAATCCAAATAATCCCTTCGAAATATTGACTAGAGAAAGAGAATTAATTCATCTGTTTATTATTTATTTTTTTTAGGAAAATATGTGATCCACATCTAACAGCGTTCGAGCCCGAGGCGATGGGAAACTTAGTAGAAGGAATGGATTTTCACAAATTCTATTTCGACAATGGTGTGTTGAAAATATAATGGGTTACCGAATACTTACATAACTTTATTTTTCAGTCCTGGGCAAAAACTGTAAAGCGGTTAATACTACAATACTTAATCCACATGTACACTTATTAGGCGATGATGCGGCGTGTATTGCTTATGTTAGGTTAACTCAGTATATGGATAAGTAAGTAACATTACCGTGCTTTCTCTGTGAAAGTGTATTTGTTTGTGTCAGATAACTATAGTGAATGTTATGATTATAGGAATACCATTAACACCATAAGGTGAAAATGGTATTCCGAATGTTGAGTCCCTTTGAGTAATTTCAACTACTATTCACCAGAGTAAGAGCTGCAAAATATAATCGGTCGCCTACACAAACACGGAAAATTCAACAATTGGTTATTTAAATCCAGTGGGACAGGTACCTAGTGAAGAAGCTAATACCACCGCGTTCAATACCTCGTGATACGAAACTGAATTTTTTGTATTGATACGTTTTGGTAGGTTTAAAGTGAATGGGTCGAATAGACCCTCCTGCAACACGCGAGGGTTCATTGCGGCCCGCTTTCTAACGAAGTCAGTTACTTTATTTGGTTAGTGATCTTTCAGCTGACAAAAATAGTCTTTGTCCATCATTGAAAACCTGATCCGGTCGGCGGCGACAGAGCAGGCACAGACTATATATGCTCTGACTTGTGAAGAATAATCCCCTCGTGATCCTCTCAGGTAACCTATAGCCTTCCAGGCCGAAACGTACAGTTATGGAATCATACCGGGAACCATGACAGCCATAATGACATTGCAGTTGATTGGCTGATATTGGAGTTGCCGAATGTTCAAACTGCAAGATTCCCGCCTTGATGTCCACAACAGTCTACCAATATGAGAGCTACTTGTACGTTAGCTATAAAAAATATATGTTTAAAATATGTTTTTCCGTTAACGAGCTGTCGCACCTCTACGAATGACAACTCTCAAAAGTCGAAACTTGTGTGAGCTAAGGACTAACGAGGTCTTATCTTTTAACGTGTGATTCCTAACACGGTCCGCTATGTCTGACGATACATTAGACCCAGCCAAGCAAGGCTTTTTCGCCTTTGGTTTAAGTCAATCATTTGAGCCTGAATGTTTGCTGACCTGTTCAGGGAAAACTCGTTTGAATAGTTGAAGAACTTGAAATGAAAGCACATGTACACAAGGTGTAGGATAAGATGAAAGCGACTTGACAACACACTTTTCGTATCCAATGTGTTATGGAAAAGGTACACACCAATAATTAATAATAATCAGCATACTTTTGTGAGATATGAATGCTAGTGTTTACAAAAAATGCCAAGGCACTATGAAAAGTTAAATAGCTCATTCACAATTTGATTTTATTTCAACAATCATCAGTAGGCAGCTGTTTCAGCCTATTGGGCATCATCAGTACCAGGCAAGCGATCCTCCATTGAAGACAAAATGTTGAGAATCAAGAAGGGTACTTGATAGCGCAAGCCATTTTGACTTCAGTATCACAAATTGGGCAACTTCTTCCTAATATTACCGACTTTGTTTTGCGGTTACTGATTTTCCCAAGCTGACCTTCCTTATCTTGGACACATTTTATATCTGGTCGTTAACTAGAGCCCAAACACATCACACTTCGATTCACCAGTGGTGCTAGGCTGAACCACAAATGCATTGCTGGACTCAACTGCCCTTAAAAGACAAACCTGAATGTAAGTAAGGGTGACAACCTTTCCCCTTACGAAGTCACCATCTATGGGATCGATACAGGTCTCAATCATCGCAGTTGCAAAGCCAAGCATCGACATCGACTGCCTACAAGATTCGTCCTCTGTCTTTCACTGCAAGGCATAGTAACTAAGCGTAAACTGGGGCCCAAGCACAACGCATTTATGATTCTAGTTTACGACTTGTTGGCGGTCGATGTCGAAGCTTGGCTTAGCAACAGTTAGCTTCTGGGAGCCTCGTTTGTTCGATAATTGAGTTTTCTGTTTATTCAGTAGATAGCGTCTGTGTAAAGGGAGATAGCTTCGCCCTTAATTACAATATACTTACTTCAAAAAATGGCAAATGTTTATACATGATATTAATATATTCTCTACCCTGTCTTGTTGAAAAGATAATTTAGTCTCTTACTCCCTAGACAGGTAATATATTTATTCTTTATTTTTTCCCGAGGCATGGTCAAGCACATACTCACCAGTCTGAAGAGAGCAGAGTGTGGCATAAAAAGGACAATAAGTGGCAGAATGTTCACTTTCACCGCAGCGGTGGCAATGGCGGAGCAGCGTTTGGGTTCAGTGCACATAAATAGAAGGATTAGAATCATTCTAGATGGAGTAATGCAATTGTGGTGTCCCACAAATTTATATGAACTGTTTATTGTGAAATCTTCGTGATGTGTGATTCTCAGATTTTTCATTTTTATATTAATTTTTGGTTTCTCATGAACTTTTAATTCATCTTCACTACTTTCTAGGTATTATTGTAATGTTATTATATTACCATTTCCCGAGTGGAGCCTATCACTTTTCAAGCAATTATTTCAAAAACATATACGTAGTAGAAACTACTTCTTGAATTCAAATTGTACATAAAGATGCTTAAGAAAATAAGTGAAATAAGAAGCCAATATTCAATAAACTCAACTATTTAGTCTTAAAAAATTTTACACATATATAGTTGACAACAAAATAAACTTAGATAGTACTTATACAAAATGAACTTTTCTTGAAAGTCACGATAATATGATGAAAAACATTCAAAATAGATTGCCTTTAAAATTTGTATAATCAAGAGCTTGTCATCGGCCGCGGTCAATCGATAGATATAACGGCAGCTTACTGCAGCACACCATTGTTCTAATACATGGAGCTCATTAGCCGAATGAACTTAAACGAGTATACTTTAAGAATTCAATTCATTCACACCAAAGCTCTCAAGTATTGAATATATGAGCTAGGAGTTATATCAGTGCGAAATTATTTTATATTTGTAAATTATTATTGTTATACATTTAGTGGGTCAGCCTTTTACAATAAATTTAGCATATCAGTAATATATTCTTGCCTTGCATCATTCTTTTAATCAGTGTTACATTCTTTAAAGCTATAAGGGTTCATAGATCCAATACTGACGACCGCCTCTTATTTGTCGTTTCACTAAATCTGTACTTTTATTGAACTGCCTTAGATTTACATTAGTACTGATAGATTTTTTATTGAGATCTGAACGCACTGCTACATTAAAAATAGGCTTCTGTATTCATGCTGAACTTATTTGCTCTTATAGAGCATCCTGAATTTATATGGAGTGGATACAGAAAGCAGATTATCTAATGTTAGGCGGATATGTCTGAAGATAATGTTGATCTTGTAATAGTTTACAAATCTACTATGATGAATCCCGCACTCTGCTTTAAAAGTAAGATTTTCTACTAGCATTTAAATTACTCCAGTATGTGATATACTTTTCTTATAAATAATGATTTTAGGAATAATTTCATCAACATATATGGATTTGTTTTTCAGTGTGTGATAGATCATATTTAGCCAATGTAATAAGCAAAGTATATTATGTACCTGTAATGGGACAAGAGCATCTTACAAACAATAAGACCGTTATCTTGATTGAGATTACTTAACAATCTAGAAGGTCCTATTATTTTTGAGACACTTAGATGTAAACATTTTTGGAAATATTACTTCCATTTGACTGTTCATGATATAAATACTATTGAAATGTTTTTAGCTCTCTTAATAATAATAATAAATAAGGTGTAATCATGTATCTAATTTCACATTTTTGGTCATTTCATGTGATCTCGTATTTTTTCATAATTTATTCAATTTTGAATCGATCTATCTAACGAAATACGGATAATCAAGGTAGTACCTCAACATTATGATTAACAAAAGTAGAGCCAACGATACTCTAACGAATAGTATTTATGAAAAAATACAAGTTACAGCTTTTTCAAGGTATTTGCTGCGACATAATCGAATTTATAACAAGTCATTCACTATATGTTTAGAATAGTTCTTCCTTTTAGTGAATTCGTAGGATTATCATGAAGTGGTATTTAACCTATTTGTGAATTGACTAGCAAATGTCATCATATATGTTGGGGCCTAAATATTGATTCTGTTTTATTTATTTTCTTCTAAAATACAAATAAGGCAATGTGTCATAAAACAAATTTGTATTATGAAATGAGATGTACATGCTAAATTCAACTTTTCCCAGAATTGCTATTTAGGAATCTTGAAAAGATACAGATTAGGAAGAAAAATGTTGGTCAAAAATAAAGTTTCAAAACTTCATTACTTTCTAACATGTCTTGAATGAAACAATAAAAATGAAAGCCTACCATAAATAAGGTGGTACCTCATATTAAAGGTGATTGGAATATTGATTCAATTCAGTTTATTCGAATTAGATACTAAAAAATAATCTTTCCTGTGACATGAAATCACAGGTACATGCCTATAATACTTATTCACATTTTTGTTAAAATCTTAAAACTTTTTAGTCTTGCAAATTGCTTTTGAGACAATCAGTAAAACTGAAATTCCTCATTGATTTGTAGATAGCAATGCTGCAAAAGGGCATTAAATGTAAGGAATTGAAAATTACGTGGTGTTTGCCTGTCAAAAATTTAAATAAAACGTGTGAAGTTTCACTGGTAGTCTACAGGTTAAAAATCAAAATAATTATTCGATAATTTCTGTTATTTAGCTTCAAGATTATTTGCCTATTCCAGAACATAATTTCTAAATGAAATTGTGATTTACCAAGAACTATGGACATGATTCATGAATGAAACCAGAGGTATTTAAGTAGATTTCTCAGACAACTCTATTCGGTCTATATTTCGCTTATTTTCCTCACTGGTCTTGTCAAAAGTGGGCTTTTGGTTACATTGTTCAAATAGAAAAAATTAAATAGTTCGAACAAATGTATCTCTGAGAACTAGGATAAACTATCGTGGAACTAGGCAACAGGAAATCAGTTGATCTGCCATCACTTTTAGATTACTTGTTCGAAAGGATGACTACTTTCAAAATATAATACGTCTGATCAAATATTGTATATTAAATATAAATTAAATTCACAGCCCCAGTTGAAATAAGTATTTTTATCTTTCAGAAAATGAAACAACTCGAAATATTCATTATAACTACTTGATTACTTGAATTAGGGACACAGTTGCTTCTGTTATTCATCACAAGAGGTCCTCTCTGACTTCACTAGACCCGAGCAGTATTTTAAACAAGTCAAAAAATGTTTCTTAAACAAGAAGCCTTCATGTACGTTCCCATTAGTTTATCAGTCAATCTGAAATGAAGTTCATTTTACATAGTAAATATTCTTGAAATCGGTTATACTCTCTGTGAATATAAAGACTGGTGACTATTTGAATTAACCTTTCAATATGTTTATTCTTTTCAATAATTGGCTATGAGTTCAAGATATGGTTTTACAAAATGAAATAAATCATATAATAAAACTGACTTGGAATGCTATAATCTAACCTTTGCTGAATTACGAAAATTTATTTTCGAAAGTTGAAGGAATATGAGAAAACTCAGTTTTTTCTATTTGTGGTCAAATTTTTTTTAGTTCAAGTTCGACTAAGCACTATGGTGTATCGAATGTTCTGTGTGCCAGATTTTATAAATATATTTGTTTATGTTAATTCTGATTTGCCTTTGTGATATAAGTTGAAATAATGGAAAACTATTTAAAATGTATATACAGTATCATGAGATTTTGCTTCTATCAATTTAAAAAATGTATGTTTTCCCTTTACAATCAAGTGTTGAAGTAAAACCACTTTTATGGAAAATAAATTTTGAAAAATGAGTTGTATTTAATTTTACAAATCAGACTAATCAGTGCTTGACCGGCTTTAATAAAACAAGTAATTATAGCCCTTTCAATATTGAGGTATCAACAAAAATAAACATTTGTGCTGCACTGTTTGGAACCTTTGGTGTAGTAATGAATATTACTGAAGTTCTATCCCACCACCAAACTGTTATTTTCAACACCTCGACACGTGTTTCATTCACCAAGTGATCATCTTCAAGAGGAAGTTTAATCTTCCAATAACAGAAATAAACATACTAATTGAAATTTTTGCTCCAACTTTGAGAAAGTTTGAAAAACATTTAAATAATATTTGAAAAACTTCAAAAACTGTCTATTTCTTGTGATCACATATTAAAATACCATAGATTTCGTTTGGCTAGCACTTATCCCCTGACAGATTCAAGTATTGTTTATAAGGTACAATTTTTCATAAGAATATAAATACTTATGTGTAGAAAAATTTCCCACGTTACCATCAGGTACAGTTAGATTTTGAATTCTCCTCCTACACTTCATCATTAACGAAGTTGAAAACCAGAGCCCAAACACAAGGCATTTATGATTCAACACCAGAGTGAGCTGTTAGGCTAAACTAGAAATGTTAGGCTGGACCAGAAATGCGTTGCTCGACTCAAATGTCCTCAAAGTAAAAGGATTGAGTTCTCTGTCCATCTCACAGATGGCGTCTTCTTGAGGGGAGATGTCGTTGAGTTTTCTTACCCATGCTTGGCTTTTAAAAACAGTCGAATGCAATAACGCATTTGTGGTTCAGCCCAACACCACTGATGGCATATGGCAGGTCGAAACAGCGCTGTCTGGTGTTGAATCATAAATGAGTTATGTTTGGGTTCTGGTTTTCAAGTAGTGCCTTGCAGTGAAAGACAGAGGACGAATCTCGTCGGCGGTCGATGTCGAAGCTTGGCTTTGCAACTGACTCTCTTGGAGAGCCTTGTTTATCTTTGTTATTCGAGGGTTGAATTCTCTATCTATCTCACAGATGGCGTCTTTGTAAGGGGAGATGTCGTCAACCTTTTCTACTCAGGTTTGTCCTTTAAGGACAGTTGAGTCCAGCAACGCATTTCTACATTGCGCTTCTCAGAAATGTCTCTCTGACTAGCGAAATTTACGTTCTGTCGGAACTGGATTCTGATCATAACCCAGTAGTCCTGGTATTGGGTGATGATCTTCCTTCCCCTGATTATTGCATGAAATCTAAGACGGATTGGGATGTCTTCACAGCCCAACTCGAAGAGATGCGCGTGCCTCCTGAGGTACTCGACTCTCCTGACGAACTCGACGCGGCAGTCGAGCGTTTCGAGCTTTCCGTAAATGATGCGTTTCGAGCGGCCACCGCCAGGGAGGAGTGTCCGCTGAGGAGCTATAATGAGTTTCCCCCTCGTATCAAAGCCTTGATACGAGAGAGAAATCGCCTGAGAAGGCTCTATCAGCGAACCCTTTTCCNAGTATATCTTCCAATGAAAGATGAACAACGTTTTCATCCAATTCACCCCAGCCAGGCAGGGGTACACCTTGAAGGGCGGTACTGATGTCTGAGGACATTCATGCCACCATACAATTTAACACCCATATCAGTTATGACCCGTTTGTCCTTCTGGCAAACATCAGTTCAAAGGGTAAGGGAGCCAGGCTCCAACCTGACTAAATTGAAGATGGATTTCGAGAACGCATTTCTGGTTCAGCCTAACACCACTAATAAGACCTATAGTGGATCGAAACAGCATTGTCTGGTGTCAAGTCATAAATGGGTTTTGTTTTGGCGCTAGATGTTGAAGTGTGGCTCTGCAACTAACAGCCTTGGAGAGTTTTCACATATATTCAGTGGCAAGACTGGCTATAAATCAAATTGAATAAAACGAACAATTTATTCAGGCCAGTCTCAACTTACCTACGCTGTAGGTTAATACTCTGACACCTATCAGAAAACAACTATTCCCCTGTCTAATACCACGAAGGCCGTTGGATTCAGTTGGTGTCAGTCCATTAACCTATAGTGTCGGTAAGTCGAGACTGGCCTGAACAAATTGTTCTTTTAGTTTATTTGATTTACAGCCAGTCTTCAAGTATGCCCACTGAATATATGTGAAGGTTTTTTTCCTTATATGAGAAATTGGGCAAAGTTTGGATATGCGGTTGGTTAGTACCTTGTTTACAAAATGGAGCAATGACAAATTTATTGTTTGTCGTTCGCTTCAACTTGGTTAGAGGAATGATACTCTGAAAGGAATTCTATTTTTAATTATGGAATATCATCAACTT